TCTCTATCATCTATCTTCTATCATGGCTATCATCTATCTACCTATTATCTATTTATCTATCAATAATTTATTTATATCTATCTATTGATCATCTATCAATCTATATATCTACATTTATCTATTACATTATAAAACACAGTTTCTCCTTCAAAATGTGAATCTTACTTTAAGAAGCAACATTCTTAAAAAAATTAGAGAGAAGGGAGCTTCAGTAATATATTTTCTTGAATTTCAAATAAATTTTATTGATGATAATCCAGAATTTAATCTAGTTTACCTAAGAGAGAAAGGTAGGGGGTAGACAGAAGACTCAGTGGTTAAGTGCACATATTGTTTTTGCAGAGGAGTAGACTGTGATTACTAGGATTCATATTGGGCAGTTCACAAATGCCTATAACTCCAGCTCCAGGGGAACCTGACTCCTCTGACCTCCAGTGACACCTATACTAATGTACACATACCAATAGATACACACATAAAACTAATTTTTTAAAAAATATAAGGGATCATTATTATAACTACAATGATTTTAATATAGAGATGCACAGATAGAATTTTTGCTTGTTAAAACCTTTTTAATTACTTGTATTTTGTATCAACAGTATTTAAAATTTGTAAGTAGTGAAAAATCAGCATGAATTGCAGTAATTTATGAATAAATGTACATAGAAAATTTACAAGCAAACTCAAAGTGGTAATAACCCATTTCTGAGGAATCGATTTGTTCTTTTGTCTATACATCAAATATGTGCAAACTGCTTTTGGTGCTATTCTTTTTTAAATTTTTATTTTCTGTGTATGAGTGTATTGCCTGCATGTAGGTGAGTGCACCTGTGTCGTGCAATGCAGCGGAGGTCAGAAGAGGGCTTCGGATTCCCTTGGAACTGGAGTTAAGGATGGTTTGTAAGTGGGTGCTGGGAATCTAACCGAGGTCCTCTGCAAAAGCGCTCAGTGCTCTTAACCGCTGAGCCATCTCTCCAGCCCCCATCAGTATATTTCTTTAAGAGTTCAAGGGATTACACTTCCCAGACATTAAAAATGGTCTTTACCAGGAATTGCTGGTCAGGTAGAATCTACAGGTGTTTTCCTCTCTAAAGTGGAAGTTTCAGAGAAGAGACTCAGGGAGGTTCCTGAGGTGAATGTTTCTGTCTCCCAGTGTATACAATTTGTGTATGTCTAAAAAGAAAATAGAGTACCCATAACAGCTGTCACCCCACACAGCCCCACACCCAAGGTGGTTTTGAATTTCTCTTTGTCTTCTTCCTCCTTTTTATTATACTGTAGGAGCCATGTCAGGAGGACCTTTCTGTCTCTGCAATGATGGTGAGATTATTCTTTTATTCTTAGTTATTTCCTGTAGAACTTTTCAATAGCTGGCCTAATTTACCTTCCCTCTATGTGTGTTCCCTGAATCTTTGTTCTAGGAGACCTAGGTTGCTGGTCCACCCTTCACACTGTAAACTCCATATCTTTCTCTACAGTCTCTCAAGGTTTTCCTTGTTTCTTGTTTGTAGACATTTTCTCACCATGTAGCATAGGCTGTCATTGAATTGTTTGGCTTCTGCTTCTGGTTTGTGTTTACCAATATACACCATCCCAACAAGTTTGTTGAAGCTTTTGATACATGGTTTTCTGTGATCTTCGTTACTTATGTTGCTATTTGTGTGCATGATCTTTTGACTCTTCTTTAGCTCTTGAAGAATGCTATCATGCCAGGCTTTGTTTCCTGTGTATCATCCCTCATCCGATGTCTACAGTGATGGCAATGGAGCTGATGTTAGTGAAAAGTAGAGTGAAGCAAATAATATCTGGAGCTCCTGGGTGTTGAATGGAAAATCAGATGAACTGACAAAATAGGCACAGGGCATGGGGAGGGTTCTTACTGTGTAGATGAGCTCATTTGACCTTTTGTTTCCTTGAGCACATTAGAAAAGTTGCAAATTGTGTCCATATGAATAGATAAGATAATCACAAGTCTATATAATATTACAACGCCATAAATAATACTTGAAAGCCATTTCAAAAAATGTTATAACAACTACAGCAACGCTAAGCAGGAATTAGATGCATAATAAATGCTACATAATGTTAATAGTGAATTATGAAGTAGAGGATGAAGAGGCTACATATCTATATACACGTATGTTTCTTTTTAAAGAATTATTTACTTATGTGTGTTTATGTGTACAAGTGCTTTGCTTGTATGTAAGTACACCCATGCCATATAATGCCTGCAGAGGTGTGAAGGAGGCATCAGATCCTCTGGAACTGGAATTATGGATGGTTGTTAGCCACCATGTGGGTGCTGGGAATTGAACCTGGGTCCTCTGCTCTTAACTGCTGAACCATCTTTCTAGCTCCAAAAAATGTATGTTCCTTTATAAGTGTGTTCTGGGCTGGAGAGATGGCTCATCGGTTAAGAACACTGACTGTTCTTGCAGAAGACCTGAGTTTGAATTCCAGCATTCACGTGGCAGCTAACAACTGTCTGTAACTCCAGTTCCAGGGTATCCGACAGCCTCCTTCACATGGCAGCTAAGAACTGTCTGTAACTCCAGTTCCAGGGTATCCGACAGCCTCTTCTGACCTCCATGGGCATTGCACGACATGGGTGCACTTACCTACATGTAGGCATAACACTCATATACCTAAAATAAAAATAATAAATAAAATATTAAAAAATAAGTGTGTTCTAGTGTGTGCATACACGATCTTGTAAAACATAAAGTGATTAGTAGTCTTAGCACTAAATATGTGAGATGTGAGACATAATCATCTATGAGATTAATAGGTAAGTCAGATATCTTGAAAGAAGAAATTTGGGAAACACGCATAGGTCCCTATATAGATATCACCTTGATGTATGCAATTAAGCATGTATTATGTACATTTTGGTTTAGATTTTGCTGCTTGCCATTCAAGTTGGAATTCTGTAATGTTGCTGGTCCAGAAAAAAGTAGCACAAAACTATGTAGATAAGACAAAGCAAACCATAAATGCAAATAAGTGTATCTTTATTTTGGTGACAGCACATGGGAATTCAGTTTCATTCATCATCCACTGCCAGGATATCAAGCTGCTCTGCGTAAGGCACACAGTGTCTGGATGAAGCTCAGCTGGGCTGTCTAGGACAGCACAGGAGATTTCTTTGAGAAAACTATGAACCATCTCAATCTATCTGACACTTGCTTCATATTGTATATGGGGGTTTATAAAAGAGAATACTGAGTATTTTTTAAAATCAGATATACATAGCATCTTAGAAGACTGCGTTAAAAATCTTCAGCATCACAAAGAAATTCTGAACATTGTCTTGTTGAAAATGACTGGTTTCCTGCAATTCACACTAAAAATCATTTTAAGTACGGAATTCATCATAGGGAATTTAGGAAATGCATTCATAGTACTGGTGAACATCATGGACTGGGTCAAGAGAAGAAAGATCTCTTCAGTGGATCTAATCCTCACTGCGCTGGCCATCTCCAGAACTATTTTTCTGTTGGCACTAATTTCATGTTTATGGAGACCTGTGCCATACTCATCTTTAATGATAATTGGAAAGATGATGAGAGTACTTAATATTTTCTTCACAGTGACCAACCACTTCAGCCTCTGGCTCGCTACCTGCCTCAGCATCTTTTATTTCCTCAAGATAGCCAACTTTTCAAACTCCTTTTTCCTTTATCTAAAGTGGAGAGTTAAAAAAGTGGTTGCGGTGGCATTGCTGGCATCTCTTCTTATCTTGTTTATCAACATTGTGATCATAAACACAAAAACTGATGCCTGGATTGATAATCACAAAGCAAATAGGTCCTACAATACTGTCTTAAACATTTCTGAGCAATTTTGTCATCTTTTTTTGTTCCCCAACACTATGTTCACACTCATACCTTTTTTCGTATCTCTAGTAACTTTTTTCCTGCTGATCTTCTCCCTCTGGAAACACCTGAAGACCATGCAGCACAACACCAAAGGCTCCAGAGATGCCAACACCATGGCCCACATCAAGGCACTGCACACTGTGGTTGTCTTCATGTTGCTGTATATTATTTTCTTTCTGTCATTTCTCTTACAATCTTGGAACAATGAGTCTCTGCAGAAAAATATGAATATTTTATTCTTCAGGGTAATTGGAGTTGCTTTCCCTTCAGCCCATTCCTGGGTCCTCCTTCTTGGAAATAATAAGCTGAGACAGGCTTTATTCTCTGTGCTGTGGTGCACGAGGTATAGAACAAAGATATAGGACATTTGTGTCCTGAATATATTTGCAATTAGCATTTAGAGTCTATAGGTCAAAACTGGTAGACGTTAGGAAGGGCTGGCACTGATGGATGAAGGAACTCGGAGCAGCAGTGGACCACATTAGTACGCAGTGGACAGTAGTTATTGTTCTGTTTGTACCCTTCTTCTTTTAGAGTCTTCTGTCTGTAGCATCTGCTCCAAGAAGATGAGGAGAACTTGGCTCACCTGAACGCTGTGAGGAAAGGAAGATAACCTGCAGGCTGGACTGCCAAAGCCTAGCAGCCCCTGAAGAGGAGATGGAAGGGGGATGGTGATATGACAATAAGGAATTCTTGCTTGTATAAACTTGTACTTTCCAAACATTCTTCATTTATATGTAACTTCATGATTTTTGGAAGTTTATGTGTAAATTAAAAGATATATATATATATAGCTATACAAAGAAAGGTGTGAATGCAGACCACCTAAGCATAGAACTGCTGTCAATATGATTTTTGAATCAATCATTAACCTTTTAAAGATTTTTAAATGATTGATATGTAAAATATATGTGTGCATGCATGTGAATCATAGGAAAAAACTGTAAAATTGTACAAGAAAATTTGTATTAGACTAAAATTGTAGAAGAATAAAATTGTATAATAAAATTGTATAAGAATAAACCCAGTCAGAGATGGTGGCACATGACTTAAAGCCCAGCACTAGGGAGGCAGAGACAGAAGATCTCTGTGAGTTTGAGGCCAGCCTGGTCTACATAGTGAGTTCCAGGCCAGTCAGAGGTATATTGTGATTGTGAGACCCGATGAAAATAACAACAACAAAAAAACCCCAGCAAAAATAAAAGAATAAATTTATTATCTATAAATTGATAAGAAATGATGCACAAAATGCAGATGACTTGGGCACCAGATATACTTACCCTTTCTTTAAAATATAAGACCATCTTGGAAAACTTTAAAAATGTCTGGGCCAGTGAGCAATCATCTTTACCTGCTAAGCCTTCTTCCTCCAATTTATGTGAACGCTGGGATGAACTGATTGCATAAAGG